CGCTCGATCTTTGTCTTCAATCTCGACGAGAGGGATTTACCTCTCGGCCAAGAGGGATTTACCTCTTGGTCTTTAATTTCAACGAGAGGAGTTTACCTCTTGGCCTAGTGGGATTTACCGCTCGGTCTTTGTCTTCAAACTCTTCCTGAGAGACTTCACCGTTGAATATGAACTTTAACAAAGTTAGCAACCAGTGACTGAGCATGAATTGCTAGGCTTAATTTATTCCATAATGAAAGCATAAGACAAGAAAAAAAATCTAAATCAAATGAAATTGAATTTAAACATGACATTAATAATTTCTAAAGGCATGTCTTTTGTTTCGAGAACTTTTAAGAATTTTTTTACTCTTGTTGCAAAACCTAGTGTTTATCCGAAGTAGCGATGTCGAGACCGAGCGCGCGTCTGGTTCTTCGTGGCTTCATGAGGATGCCGCTTGGCCCCACTTTGGGCGCTAAAATGTTTCGGTTGAATTGGTCCGAGGGTCGATCATTCTTCCTTTCTCTACTCTCTTTTGATCTTCAATCATCTCCGAGAATGCAATCCACTTTGATGAGTTGTTGACCTGCAGAAGACACTCTGACGCTCAAGTCAGATATGTTTCATAAAGAGGTCTATATTTTATTAGGATAGAAAAATATGTCTTTACCTGGGCATTAACCCTATATTTATAGGGCTTATACCAATCAAGCTTATTAATTCATATTTGATATGACAATAAATCCAATAATACTTGCTAATATACCTGCTAATTGTCCATTAATACCATATTCTCGTGCAATATGACCTGTCAATCACTCATAAATAGCGTATATTTGCATTTAATATCGCCATTAAATGTATTAATTGGCCATTAATGATATTTACCTTTCCTGATTAGTGTTTGTCTAATAGCCAGTCGGTTGCCTGTTTTGGCTCCGGATTCTCCTTAACTGATCGGTCACCAAGTATAGTACAATATATATATATATCATATTTGCATTTAATACTTGTTGCATGTTTTCCTGCTTACCACTATTTGAAGTTGTCTTATATGCAAAGAAGGAAACAAAAATAGGTTCTACCCTGAAATGTAGAAAAACACTAGAAATGGAGGAGAGGAGGGCATTGAATAATGTTTTCAAAACTCTTTTCGTAAAACAATGCTTACTGTCTATTGCATGGGTTAGACGGTCTACAATAATTATTGGATGTATATCTTTTCAATAAAGCATTTTAGAAAAATATTTTAAATAAGGAAAGCAATAGCACAAGTATTTTTATATCGGTTCACTCAACCCGAGTTGTGGCTAGTCTTTCTTAAGAATTCTTACGAGGTTTCATTAATATTTTTCAAAGATTACAATCAAGTACAAAGCACTCCTGGTATTCACTGGGTATTATCAACCACTCCTGGTTTTCAAGTATTAAAAACCACTCCTGGTTCCTGAGTATTATAAATCACTCATGCTTCCCCTAGTCAATCTAACTAATATGAGTTTAACCACTCCTGGTATACAAGTATTGTCAACCACTTGTAGTTCCCTTAGACAACTGTCTAGAACATTTAACTCAACTGAGTTAAACAATACAAGTGTTTTAATTCTCTTAAGAATATCCAAACACAATTAGTGTTCTTGATTATAAGTACATATTCTAATGACTCTCAAGGAGAGGATAAATACAATACAATGAAATCTGAGAACTTGTAGAGCTCTTTCTCTTAGGTTGCAAAGCTTTAGACGATATAAGCTTTGACGTAGAGTAGAGCATGCATTAAAAATTCTTTCTTGTATATGTTCTCTCTCTCCTATTCTCTCTTATATTTTCAATTTCTTTAACAACTTCTTCTCTTCTGTGATTCTTCTTTATATAACCCTCTTGAGAAATGACTGTTGGACACAGAGTTGACTTCAAATAGACTTCATAGCCTTTATATGTAGTTGGACAGACTTAGGTCTACGTTGTAGGATGACAATGCTTTATTTGTGCTTTCTTTCATGAGTAGCTTGTATAGTCTTCCAGATCTAAAGGCTTTAAGAAAACATTATAGGAATGTCTTGTTATCTCTCAATGTCTTTCTGTCATTTGTTTAAAGTTTCTAATAAAGCTTAGTGTTTGATGTGTCATGATATGATCTATTAAACGCTTGCTTCCTAAGGTTGTCTAAGCTTTAATACATCATTTAGTTATGCTTAACACGATCATCGTCCAAACGCTTTATCATTTTGTTCAAGCGCTATTCAAGTTCTATAACGTTTGGCGCTTTTTATGTGTTATTCCTTGACATATTTAAGATATAAGATAATTATATATATCTTTTGAAAGCGTTAACCGCATTATACTGATATCCTAGATAGTTCATTTTTTCAGACGCTTAGTGACTCAATGCACTTGCTTATTGAATCTTAAGCTTTAATGTTTAGCTTAGCATTTACATGGATTATGTTTTCATTATAATATTGCTTGCGGTTGGACAAAATTTACCTCAAGTGTTGTATCCTTTATAAATGTTTATCTTGTTTGATACACTTGATAGATTTTTGTATATGATAAACATATGTTTCATTCAATATTATCTTTTAGCATATACCCTTGTTAGACGTTACATTATGTAATCAATATTTCATTTAGTGTTGTTTTTTAAACTTCAAAACTTAAGTTGCTAGACAGTCTGGTTTCTCTAGATGATCTTGTCTTAACATACTCTTTGATCCTGAAATGGATATGGCAACAAGGAGAAATAGCAACAAGGTTAGGAAGCAAAAACAACTCGTGAAAATATAATAGTAATAGTAGGAAGTAGTTGACTCAAACTCAAATCTACGCTTTCAAAAATCAACTTAAATGGCACATAAAACAATCAAAGGAGGTTATTGAGTGATTATAAAACCAAATGTGTGGAGATGAAGCCTGCACTACTCTCATTAATCACAACAAACCAATTTTTTGGTTTAGAAGATCCTTTCAATCACCTTGCAACATTTTATGAATTATGTGAAACTCTTGGAATAGATGTTGAAAATGAAGATGCCATTTACCTAAGATTATTCCAATTTTCACTCACTGGTAAGGCTAAAACGTGGCTACAATCTCATCTTAATCAAAGCTTAACCAGTTAGAAAGATGTGGAAAAGAAGTTTCTAGCAAGATTTTTTCCTCTAGCAAAGTTTGCTAGTGTCGAATCTGCCATTGCAACATTCTCTCAAGGATTTGGTGAACCATTCTATGAGGCATGGGAAATATACAAGGCCTTATTTAGTAAATGTCCCAACCATGAATTTGATGATATAGCACAACTTAACATGTTTTATAGTGGGCTTATACCCCAAACTTGAATGTTGTTAGATGGATATGCAGGAGCAACCATTATGATTATTGAATCTTAAGACTCAAGATGTCATTAGAACATAAAATAAAACCATTTCACAAAGATGAAAAAACTGAAAAAGCAAATGAAAAAGTTGCAGCTTGAGCCACGATCTCATGGCTTAACACAATAGGTGCTGAGATGTGATTTTTGCTTATGTGATCTCTAAAATGAGAACCTTTTACACGAGAGACTCAAAAAGAGGAAGAAGTGAATTACGTGAGTAACAACAAGAGGGCAAAAAATATTCTAATAATTGGAGATAAAATGGAAATCAAAATCAACATTCTAGTTGGAGACAAGATAGAAGAACGTCAAGTTGACAATCTGCACAAATGCCTTATAAGTAACATAAATATCCTAGAAAATTTGGACGACTTCTTTTTCTCCATCTATTTTTCTCCTTGTTGAGGTCATATAGTTTTCTTCTTCACACAATATATATTAGTCCCATGGTGGGCGCAAAAAATATTCTTTTCTATAGAACCAACTATACTTTGCAAATATCTCTAAAAGTCATTATCTTCTTGATAGCTTGGGCCCAAACCCATCTACCAATCAAAGACTAAGTCCATCCTTCAAGCAAGGTCCCAACACTATAGGAATGGCTAGAAGACTTTAAGAAGACCTATAAGACATCCCCAAGCAAGTAGAAGTGAAGAACTACTCCATTTGAAAGGAAAGACAGCAAAGCTTCCGGATTAGGTCATGCTTATCACAAATCCTTCTTTGCCCAGTGAGCTCGAACTTCACTCAATGCACACATGACTTTGCCTAGTGAATGTGTGCATCACATTAGCATCCAATGAGTGTAGCTTGAGTTGTCACATGGAAATCATGTTGCATATGTGTCATATGTGCATAATACATAGCTGATGTTTAACCTTAACTAGTAGCACCGTGGGGAGGCTTAAATGAACCTATAAATTCACCTTCCCACACCATTGTATTCACTTGCTGCATTTATGGTAAAGGCATTTTGTTAAGATGACTCCAGAAACTTTCCTCTACAAAGTCATGACTAGAGAGAGTGACCTCTAGCCACCTTCCTTACATAGGTTTACCTTCTAAGCTTGCTAGATCATCACAAACACCACCTAACCATATGCACCAAGCCAATCCTCCATCAACCACACCTTTTATTCCTCTACTTTTGTTTTTTCCATCCACTATCTTCATTGGATCCACAACTGCTTGGAGTTTCCAATTTTGAGGACTGTATCATATGGTATTTAAAGCATTAGTTCAAGCTTTCAATTAAGTGTTATGTGTGGTTTTCTTGAGTTGTCATTCATCTTCCATAATTGTCTTGTTGTTTGTGTTTTAATGTTACTGTTTCATCTATTTTGTTCGGTTAAATCTACTTCTCTTTGTTGTTTTAGTGCTTTTGTTGCTTATTGTGGTTTGTTCAATCATTATAATCGGTGAAGTTATGTTTAAATGAATCAATCCTGCTTTTAAATACTTAAATTTTTTTTGTTAGTCATGTGCTTAGTACAAGTGCTGATGCAGCTTTAATTTGTCATAATTATGGTTTAATATGCTTTTAAGAATGATAAATTGTGTTGGATTTAATTTAGAAACATGTGTGTGCCATATATCAACCAATGACAAGCAACGAGATCTTAAATGTAGCCTTGGTTGTAGTGAGCCAATGCATTCAATCTTAATCTGTGTTTGGATTCTTGAATATAAAGTGTTTGATAAAATTCGAGTAGTAACACAATTTGTTTGATAATTTCATCACAATTTTGGAGTTTGTTAATGTTGTGTGAGGCTAGGTACACCAAATGAACAATGAAATGCAAAACCATAGCTCGGTTAGTCAAGCTAGAATCACACTTTCTTGTTTGATCATGAGTAATAGCTTTTCACCGTGCTAGTTTTCTTTGAAATTTCTCTAGTATCAATTTGTTGGTCATTTTGTTGTTGTTTCCAGCTTCGCTAAGTCCAATTGCATTTGTTAAAGTCATTTTTCATACTACCTAAGTCATTGTTTCACTCTAAATCAAAATTAGTGGTCTAGTTGGACTAAATTACTCTACAATTAGAAGTGGCAAGGTTAATTTTCAAAATATTGTTGTTTTTGTGCCAAAATTTAGTTTAAACAACTCTATTTCAATGAAAAAAATTTGTTGAGATAGTTCATTTCAAGTTTCTTGTGTGCGTTTTAGTATGTCAAACACCACTTTTGAGTCATTTTTTTTGTGTAAATTGAACCAAATGACACTAGTTTGAATAAGTCATTAAATTTGAAGCTTTTGATTGTAGTAAAAGCCTATGATTCTGATGTGAAATTGTAAAAATAGTTTGAATAATCAAGGTTTAATACATCATTTGGTCCCTACTTTTGGGGGTTTGGTTCAAAATGGTCCTACCTTACGAAAAAGTTCAGTAAGGTCCCTACTTTTGTTAAAATGTTCAATTCAGTCCTTTTCGTGGACGCCGTTAAAAACATAACGGTGCTTATGCCACTGTGGCCAAATCTGAGTGAGCTGTTGTGTTTGATGATTACGTGACACTATGAATTGAAGTAATTTGGGTGGTAGGTTTAAGTGTGGGTTAAAACAAAATTACCCTTATCTAAGACTGATTTGGGCATTTTTGGGTAAAACATTGTGCTGCAAGTGGTTTTGGTTGGTGATTCCTTCAAAGTGAAATTAGAACAGCGTACATGCGTGAGGTAAGTGGTCGTAATCTAAGGCTAATAAGTTGATGTTGTTGTTGTTGTATTTGGGGGTTAGGGTTTAATTATATTTTGTTCGATTAACGATGATTTTCGGGGTATAAATTTGTTGGGTAAATATTATATGTTGAATTGTTTTGTAATGCGGTTTGTATTGTGTTTTAAATATGATTATAGTTGTTGTTTGTTGGGTGGTTAAAGATAGTGAGGAAGATTGTCGGCTTTTTGGGTTTCATAGTGGTCCCATTGTTGTTAGTTAAGTAATGTAAGTGGTCCTCGTTTGCATTTGAGTTGTAAGGATTGGGATGTCTGGGGAAAGGTTTGAGGTAGTGGTCCACCATGGTGGGACCTTGATAAAAGAAGTCCCCTTTAAGTACATAGATGGAGAGATTGATGTGTGGGACGTTGACCCCGTTTTTGAAATAGTAGGTGCACTAAAAGATCTGGGGGTACCTTCAAGTGAAAGAGTTATATTACAGCGTACAACATTTGTTGCATAAACTATATGATGATAGAGGAGCAATGAATATGATGAAGGTGGAAAACTTTTTAGGGAAAGTTGACTTGTATGTTGTACATGGCATGGACGAAGCAGAGGTTGTAGAAGATGATGTGAACCAAATTTATTTACTTTGTGAAGCTGAAGCACCTGGTTGGAGTGGTGAGGGTACTAGGGTTGTAGGTTCCTCACACATTGAGCGTGGTGATGAAGGAAATATGGAGGAGGTTGAAGTGCAGAATGAGGTTGAAGAAAGAGCAGTTGCATCTAGTGAAGTAGGGGAGGTACATATAGAGGGTGGAGTTGAGGTGGATGTAGATGGTGGAGTGGAGCTGGAAAGTACTGGTGGACATGAGGTGGATGCTGGAGTTGAGGTGGATGTAGATGATGGAGTGGAGTTGGAAAGTAATGCTGGACAGGAGGTGGATGGTGGAGTGCAAGAAGAAGATTTTGTGGACAGTGAGGATGGAGTGGACAATGAGGTTGAAGTTGAAGTCCACAATGAGGATGGAGTGGACAGTGAGGTTGAAGTTGAAGTGGACAGTGAGGATGGAGTGGAGAATGAGGTTGAAGTAGAAGTCCACAGTGAGGATGGAGTGGACAGTGAGGTTCAAGTTGAAGTGGACAGTGAGGATGAAGGACATATGGATCATCTTAGTGGTGATGAGTATGTGGAGGAGGCAGAAGAGGTTGGGATTGCTTTGGAGGACAGTGATGAAGAGTATAGGGCTGAACCCAGTGCTAGGGGTTTGTCAGAGGATGAATGGCATTCTAATGTCCTATTAACACCACAAAACAGTGGTAGTGAGGACGACACTCATGATAGACCAGAGGCAGTTTTTTCTTCTACATATGAGAAACAAAAGTCAATGACAGATTATAAATGGGAAGTTGGGATTTTATTTAAAGACAAGGATGACTTTAAGGAGGCAATTAGAAGTTATGTTGTGCATACTGGGAGGGCTTTGAAGTTTGTTAAAAATGATAAACGTAGGGTGAGGGTTAGATGCATGGGTGGACAATGTAAGTGTCCATGGAAAGCTTATTGTGGTTATTTGCCAACACGACAATTTTGGCAATTAAGGAAAATAAATTATACACATACTTGCAGCAGGCAACTCAACATCAAAATTATGAATACAAAGTGGCTGAGTCAAGAAATAGATAGGTCTATACAAAACAATCAAAATTTAAAGGTAAACGACAAACGTAATAAAGCATTACGTAAATGGAATACCAAAGTTTCCATCTCCAAAGCACGAAGGGCAAAATTGATGGCAACAAATCAACTTAGTGGAGATTTTAAAGAACAATTTAGGAGAATATATGACTATGCCCATGAAATATTAAGGTCTAATCCTGGGTCAACAGTTAAGGTGAAGGTTGACAGTGTTGATGGTGAGACAGTTTTTAAAAGGTTTTATGTTTGCTTGAAAGGTTGTAAAGACAACTTTGTGAGTTGTAGGCCAATTATTTGTTTAGATGGATGTTTTTTTGAAAGGGTAGTATAAGGGAGAGCTGCTCACTGCAATTGGAAGGGACCCAAATGACTAAATGCTTCCCATTGCATATACGGTAGTTGAAGTAGAGAACAAAGACACATGGGGTTGGTTTTTGCAGTTGTTGGTAGAAGACCTTGGAGTAAAAGAAGTGTGTGGTGGGTGCACATGGATGTCTGACCAACAAAAGGTAAATCTATTCCTTACATTATTATATACATTAAACTCA